TGTTTGGTAGGCAAGGAAATGTTTTCTGGTCCTTCACTTGTATCTAAAATGAATGAAATGTTTTTTTTCTATGTATTAAGTGAATAACGGAAACTTAAAAAAAAATGGAATGGGCAACTCCATTAGACAGTTAGAGTAACGAAAAGCCCGTAGAAATATAAGGTTTTCAAAGTATTATTATTTCATATCTGTACAATGTACATGCATATGCATATGCTTTGTTTATATATCTTAATGTTTAATCACCATACCATAATAATTAAGATATTTTACATTTATAACTGTAATGGTTTGATTAATTAAACGATTTGATTCTGGTAATTGGAATATTTTTTTGTAAATGAACCGTTGACGTCTTTTGACGTTGCAGATTGCTCCGACTGTTAGAGAACGATATCACGTCAAATCTTATCAACTGAAATGTTTTCAAGTAAACATGATAAAAATTCGTAATTTTCTGCCAAGAACACGCTTTATCCACCCAGAAAATTTTATAAAGATACATTAATTTCTTTAAGAAATATGAGCTCAGACTACGAAATGTTAGGACAACCCTCGTAATTTAATCATTTCAAGAAGGAAAAATTATCAAATCTCAAATAATTCTCAAGAAAATATGAATAAATATACCTGCTATGCGTTTTCTGATTAAAAATTGATCAACAAATATAATTTGCAATAAAAAAATTATAGGTATCCTGGCATATGTTTTTCATAATTATTTGGAACTTTAGTTCTTCTATTTAGATCAATTCTTATAAAACGTTTGCACATACCAAAAGGTTGAGCACTGGCAAAATCCAGGATTTGGAAAGTTAACGGTTGTTTTTTTTTTTTTACCTTGTCAGATTGGGGGGGGCTCCTTTTGGTGTCTTGACTTCTATGTTTTAAGTATCTTCGCTTTGATAATTTCTGTACAGAAGGATACATCGTCTTTGGAGTAAAGTAATCAGTAAATGAGAGAGAGAGAGAGAGAGAGAGAGAGAGATTAATGAAAACTTTCAAGGGTTGGTATAAAAATGAGAAAGGGGTTTTCATATATTCTTCGAATACATGTAGTACACTATTTAATAACATTGAATTTTTTGTCCAGATACATTGTCACAGAGGCCAGTTAAGAACTATAGTATTGTATCAAACATTATTTCATTTTTATAAATGCTTACTCGATTTCAAATTCATATATAATAAATCCATGTGAATGTAGCTAGTAATTTTGGGTTCCGGACATTGTCTCAAGATATACATGTAGTTAAATGAATTTTCCTTAAAAGTGCATTTGTTTTATATCTAAGCTGACATGAATTCTTAAAAAACGCAACATTTTCATCTATGTACGACTTGTTTCACACCAACTATAGCCGTATTCCGCCATATTTCTTTCAGATACCTTGTCTCATTGTAACGATGTATACCCCAATGCGCTCGTTACACTTGAATGATTTTTTGGATTGGGTATCGACTTGTGCACATCTCCGATGGTAAAGCATATGAGAACACATGAGGTGATCAAGACATTTCAAAAACAAAATAAACAACATGATAATCATATTTTTGAATGATTATTGGTTTGAATCAAAAGAAAAAAATGCAAGTTTGGAAGAGAATTTTAGATGCATGAGTACGTATTTTTACAGTGCGCCTATTTATGCAGAATAAACTTGAAATAAAAAGCAGTAAATTTTGCAAACACATTTTGAATTTATATCATTTGAATGGAACAAAACAACCAACGTCTTTGATTTGCAGGTCCTATGCAATTGATGCATATCGAGAAAACGCCTCGAACGCTGTAAACGTACCCATACCTGGTAATAAGGTTACTGCATCGGTTCGAAGATGTGCACAAGTCAAGTGAAATACACCCTGAATTCCATTTATTGAAATATGCATCACAAAAAAGAAATAAACTCCATAAAAGCTCAACAGTAAACACACTGTCATTACTCCGTACACACTAGCACGACGATACACTTAGTCCGTGCTGATCAGATTTTGGTCAGGGAAAATATCAAAAGTGGAAAGAGAAGTTATTTGGTATTTGCGCGGCTGAAAGGGGGGGGGGATATTATAACTGATGTTCATAAGCTATAATTGTGAATTGTTTATCTACATGTAGTTCTAATATACATTCTATAAAGTCATGTTATATGACATTTAGGCAGCATACAAAAATAATTGATATGCAGTAATTCAGTTTTGATTTTTTTTTAAAAATGTGTCACTCCGACCACAAAGTATGTGCATTTTGAGGAATGTAACTGTTTTATAATTATGTTGTTACAGGAAGGGGGCTAAAATTGTAGCTCTCCGAAAAAATATATATTGATAGACCGGAGAGCTACAGTGCCACCCATTGAAAAAACTGTATATTTAAAATAATTAATTTTTCCAAATTCTTACCTCAATTGCAAAACATGGAAGATTTCAAAAAATTAATCTCTACTCTATCAAGTCTCAAATTGACATTTAGAAGCATTTGAAGACCAAAATGGCATATAAATAAGCGAAATGACCGATGATTGCAATATCAGGACCAGGAGACAGTTTATGAGGAAATTTTTTTGAGAATATGTTAGGAACACACGGTTTAAAATTTTGTGATTACAGCTTTAACCACAAAGTATGTGCATTTTGTGCGCAATAAATAACTGTTTTATAATTATGTTGTTACAGGAAGTATTTCGAGATTTCAGTACCCTGCCTGATAGTCTAGGAAGTTTTTTTTATATATATATATATAAATAATTTCTGTAGGTGAATTTGGGAGATAATTTTAAAAGCTAGGGTAGGGATACTTGACACTGGTTGAATACGGATAATTATTATTTATTCTTTTGTATATTGAACTCTCTCTCTCTCTCTCTCTCTCTCTCTCTCTCTCTCTCTCTCTCTCTGTAACCACCCGTTGGGGCAATGATAGGTATAAATCCTACGCACTTTGTGCTGTACCATTTATTATGCCTTAGGACAGATCAAGGATTTTTTTCAGGCGGGATGTCGAAACTTCATAAATTGAATAATAATTTTACTTTGGACAGGAAATTAACCCAAACGCCCAAATTGAAAGAGAAACTAGACGTACATGTATTATGAGCAATGAACTCACTAAATGATACCCCCTGCCTCCCATATGGTTATAATGGCAAAGTCCATATTTCGCTAAACCCATACGTGTCAGATCAAAAAGTAAAATAGGAGGTGCATAATGGTAATATGTAATAAACTTAAGATTCTTTGAAAGTTTCATTAAATTTCTCTAAGTGGTGTAAGAGGATTTGCGGATAAGAGATGGGTACCCCAAAGCGTAACAGACAGACGAACGGACATAACGATTACCTCCCACTTTTCAGGCGGGGGATATAATAAACGTGAAATATAAATCACAGGAATGGGAACATTGGGAACTTTCTCGAATACCTTCTCAAACGTATGTGTCTAACTTGGACAACAGACAAGAGAATTTCTAAAAAGCTAGCTACATTTTTAGGTAGAATGTGGAATTCTCACGAGGAGTTTACTCTCTCTCTCTTCCTATATGCTTTTTCTAATAATCATTATTTTTTATGTCTAGAAATTTTATTCACATTAAATTCTATTTTCATTATCATTGTACCAAAGAATCAAACTCGTTTATTATACCCCACGCGTGAGGTATAATGTTTTTGACCCGTCAGTCAGTCTTTTTTTTTTTTTTGGTCAGCGCAACTTCTCATACACCACTGTACAGAGTTTTGTCGAACTTTGCAGATATTTACAGGAGACAGTGTGTGTGTAGATTTGCACATCACCAGGAAATTCCGAATTCTTTATTTTTCGGAATTTCCGCACTTTTACATTTAGATTTTGGCCATATCTTGAATATAGAGGTGAGCAGTTTGTCAGCGCAACTCCTTATAAACCGCTGCACACAATTTCGTCAAACTTTGCAGATATTTAGGACACAATGTGTATAGATGTGCATATGACAAGGAAATTACGATTTCTTTCTGGGATTTTTTTCTGAACATGCTTACTTTTTCTTTCTTTCATAATGGCCCCGTGGGGATCTGGGTTAGAATAGGGAATTTCAGCACTTCGACTTTTGGGGGAGCGTGGGGTATGCCTAAATTTGAACGTGCTCACTTTTTCTCTTTCATAGTGCATAAAATTATAAATAACTTTAAATCAAATTATATTATGTCTAATAAAGCCAATACACAGTATTTATTTAATAATAATTTATCATAAAGAAATCCAATCTGTTTCAGACGTTTTTCTTACATTATTTCTATGAGAGTGTTTTGCATGTTTTATTACACCCCCCCCCCATATCACGGGAAAATATCTTCAAAAGGTGAATGATTCGTAATAATGCCTGTTTTTTTTTTATGAATTTGATGAAGTTAAACCATGTACTTAATCGTAAATTTTATTTACAACATGTACAGATAAGAGTAATGTTTATTTTTGAAAAAAATTACTTGCATTTTTTTTTCAATCAACCCCACTGAGCTTTCAACCTTTGATATTTTCCCTGACCAAATAAAATGATCGGCATGGGCCACGTGTGTCCAAGCATCTTTTACTGTTGAGTTAGCAATGGATTACATGACTTCTGAGATGCATTTTTCAATAAAAGTAAAATAGGATAATTCTTTCGACATGTGCACATCCCTGTAACGATAGCAGTAGTCAGGTAAATGTTTTTATCACTGCGTTTGACGCGTTTTCTCGACCTGCATGGGTGTTTGATGTACATGTATGTATTCCGTGTTAGTTTATTTTCTATATTGCAGCAAATGCATTCAAAAATAATTTAATTCTCGGTATAGTTCTATTCTTTGTTTAATTTTTACCTTTAACATGTATTTGGTCAGTTTATGGACTTCTAAAAACTTTGTTATCGGAGATGTGTACATGTCGACAGTCAGGCTAGAAAATCACTCAAGTGAAGCAATCGTACAAGGCTATATATAGCAGGTACAGGTGACCAAAATCTTCAATTAAAAATTATTTCCACATAGACTTACACACAGATTCCCGTACGATCCGTTTGGGCATGCGCTGATACAATTGTTTCCAAAGAATCCCGGGGGACAGGCTGATTATAGACATAAACATTGATATTATTATGTAACTGTTTCCTTTGCTCAATATTCTAGGGATTAATATTGCAGCTGTTGCAGAAAAAATGAATTGCATAACGGCCTTTTGAAAATAAAAACAACACTTAACGTATATGATATCTTGTGCATATAAATATCACTATATACAACAGGAACGTTGAATAAAAAAAATGCAAGGAAATTAATTATCCGCACTTCACAATTTGTAGAATGATTTAATTTAATGTCATAAAGAACATAATTGATTGTGAAAAATTAATGCATTAAAATTAAAAAAAAAAAACACTCACCCTCACATTTATTGCCCACAACATGAAAGTTGTAACAACATTGGCCGGAAACAGGTCTGTAATAAGTTTATAATAAAATACATATAGTGTCAAATGATAATAAAGAAATATTTGTACACTGGAACATAATGAAAAACCATACCTTTCTGTACATTGGCCATTTTTCGTTTGAGAAAACACCAGTATAAAGAGGCATATAAATGCAAGAACAAGCAGCTTATCACTTCGTGAACGACACATTTCAATCAAAAATACGGAAATATTGTTATGTCCTTCCTGAAGAATCTTATTTCTATAGCTCATCATTATGAAGTTTAATCTCCAAATAATATATGGTTTTAAAAAGAGATATATTTTTAATTTGGCAATACTTGATAAGTAAATCTATGTGTGGTTATATAAATGTAACTTCATTTCATCGATTTTCTGTAATATTGATATAAAATGCTGAATGAAACGATACGTTTAGGAAATCGAGGTATATTTGCTTCCTTCTCTATTATTTTGTTCCAAATAAAGCTCCATGAATATAATTTTGTGTCAATTTTGAATATCATTAATCTTTCCAACATCTCAAAAGAATTTGAATGGCCATAACTATATTGGATGCACAGGCACTTGTTTCTGTAATAAATTTTTGACCCAATAGTATAATAATAACACAAGGTATCTAACTCCGATTTACACCGAGAACCCCCCTCCCTTTGAATCGCGCTCATTTACACTTTCGGAGGAAATGCACGGGTAAACTGTTTATACCTATGTCATATACGATAATTTATCTACACAACCATATATGGCTTGCTTGTCCTTGTATTCTTTAATCTCCGTAAACAGCGCCAAAACTCTACTCGCAGAGTGGAAAAGTCGAACTAAACCATAGAACGTTATACCGGGTATGCTAATCTCGGGCAAAGAGAAAAATTAAAGAATGCGTGGGTTTAAAAATTCAATTCCAGATTTTAAATATGGCATTGAATAAATAAAATTTCCTAGTGTCTTATTTTCCATAATAACACTAGGATGTTTTTCAGATGTAATTTTAGAAACAGATTTTTAGCCAATCAAATTCGAGGTCTAATTGTTTGCCCGAGACTATAATATACGATTCTATGGTTGAGTTTCACTTTCCACTCGGCGAGCAGAGTTTTGACGCTGATTACAGAGATAAAAGAAAATAAAGACAAGCATATGCCAGCTATGGTTGTATAGATAAATTATCGTAGAGGACATAGGTATAAACAGTTTACATGCATTTCCCCTGAAAGTGTAAATGGGTGCGATTCTAAGGGAGGAGGGTACTCGGTGTAAATCGGAGTTAGATACCTTGTGTTATTATTATACTATTGGGTCAAAAATTTATTACAGAAACAAGTGCCTGTGATTGGATGTCAAAACTTAAAACAAAAATCCTTACAAACAAAGATACATAACGGGATCCAGTAACTGTTCTATCAATTATTTTTCTTAACTCCTCGCTAAAACTACGGCCATTTGCAAAAAGGACCCCCTCCCCTGATATTTAATCCCGGGGCTTGTTGGAATTTTTTTTTCACAAATTATATTTAATACACTTATTCATCATACGTACCATGAGAAAAAAAATCGTGAAACCCCAAAATAATTGTTCCACAAAAAATACCCCAATATACATTATCTCCTATAATGTATAGTGGGATATTTTTTCCAACTAGTCCCGGAGTTAAATATCGGGGTTCCTGTCCACAAGTACCTGTGGCTTAAATATTAACAGTTTAGAAATATTTAGTAGTACTGTGCAACAATACATTCAAGAAATGTTGTTAATCAAATATTGATACCTAAAATTTCTAATGAACTTTTGATAAATATGAAATCAAAAGATTTTACCAAAATCAGTAACATAAAAACTTACGACTTTTTATTCCCCACGATAAATTAAAGTTCAATCTTTGTGATATCATTGACAGCTGCCTTAAAAAACGGAACTCGTAAATTTACTTATCTTGTCATTGGTCATTTGCGAAATTGTTTTGTTAAAAACATTCTGATTATACACACAATTACTCTGAAGTTGACATCAAAAACATGCTTGAGTTTCTGATTGACAATATCCATGTGGGGTTTGGTGACCAAGTCTTCTAAAAATTGATTGGAATTCATAGGGATACCATTTGCACACCGATAATAGCAGAACCTTTTTGTATCGTGTGAAACAGAATTTTTTCAAACTCTTATACGTGATAAAAATTTGCTCTGACCTTTAACTCCACATTTAGTTATATCGATGAAAGCCATCATTTTGTAAGTTCTATGGTCGATACAATGACCTTGACACCAAACATAATTTATTATTGATTCCAATGCTGACTGACGTTTTTCACAATAATTGTTAAACAATTATTTACACATTGAATTGTAGACGGATATTCCATAATATTTTGATCATGACAAGGAGCACACGGCAGGTGTGACAGGTAGGCAAGGTATGTTCATAACTCCATGGCACCTGATTCCACCTTGATGTTTCAGAGGCCTGTGTTTGCTCGACTCCTGATTTTTTTGTTTAATGGACTGTTGAGCTAGAACACTGTTCGTTATATCTCCATATATGTCATAATTAAATTGTTTGAATTGTGTATGTCAGGAACACAATTTTCATTAGATGCAAAATAAAGAAATAAATATACATAAAAAGAGTTATTGCTCTTCACAAAATATTTAAAGAATGAATACTTGATTACATAAAGGAAATATAATTCTTGGAGTTTTTTTTACTTAACACTATTTTTTATTACACCGATTGAAAAACATTCCTCCAAACGATATTTTTCTAATGGGAATGAATTGAAATTATCTACAGTTTTCACAAAAAGACACCACAGGAGGATGTATGTATATATTTACATATATGCATATATATATTGATTCCAAATGGAAGGTCGTGTCACACGGAATAGATGAGAAACAAAGCAGAACCCTTCCTTTTTAAAAGTCGACCACGTTATCAGTTTTTATATATAGATTGAACACAAAGATGAAGATCAAAGGGTTGATACTACTTTTCTG